CAAAGTGCTGGGATTACAGGAATGAGCCACTGCACCCGGCCTTAAAAGGATTTTTTAAAAGGTGCTCAGTGGTTAAAAGTCAGCTTAATTAAAAGATAACTTTCAACATGTGTGTATATGTGCATGTGTATGTGTGTTTGTATTTAAAAGGCCTTCAAGTTTTTATTTTGCTCCTAGGACCTCGTTCCTTTTTTGAGCGAAAGTTTTCTTCTTTTCAGTTGACTGAATTCTGTTTTCTAAATTTACTGGTGCTGTCTCTCCTTTCTCTTGCACCCTCTGCTGCATGAGGGACTTCAGATAGTTTATAATAGCCTGGGATTTTTTTTGTTTTTTTTGTTTTTCCCATTTTTTTAATTTTAATTTTTTTTAATTATACTTTAAGTTCCAGGGTACATGTGCATAACGTGCAGGTTTGTTACATATGTATACTTGTGCCGTGTTGGTGTGCTGCACCCATCAACTTGTCAGCACCCATCAACTCGTCATTTACATCAGGTGTAACTCCCAGTGCAATCCCTCCCCACTCCCTCCTCCCCATAATAGGCCCTGGTGTGTGATGTTCCCCTTCCCGAGTCCAACTGATCTCATTATTCAGTTCCCACCTATGAGTGAGAACATGCGGTGTTTGGTTTTCTGTTCTTGCGATAGTTTGCTGAGAATGATGGTTTCCAGCGGCATCCATGTCCCTACAAAGGACACAAACTCATCCTTTTTTATGGCTGCATAGTATTCCATGGTGTATATGTGCCACATTTTCTTAATCCAGTCGGTCACTGATGGACATTTGGGTTGATTCCAAGTCTTTGCTATTGTGAATAGTGCCGCAATAAACATACGTGTGCATGTGTCTTTATAGCAGCATGATTTATAATCCTTTGGGTATATACCCAGTAATGGGATGGCTGAGTCATATGGTACTTCTAGTTCTAGATCCTTGAGGAATCGCCATACTGTTTTCCATAATGGTTGAACTAGTTTACAATCCCACCAACAGTGTAAAAGTGTTCCTATTCCTCCACATCCTCTCCAGCACCTGTTGTTTCCTGACTTTTTAATGATCGCCATTCTAACTGGTGTGAGATGGTATCTCATTGTGGTTTTGATTTGCATTTCTCTGATGGCCAGTGATGACGAGCATTTTTTCATGTGTCTGTTGAATAGCCTGGGGTTTCTTAAAGAAGATGGAGAAGGTGCCAGACTCCCTTTGGGAGAGACCTGTTTTCCCTTATGGAACCCTGGGAGTGTAAGCAGACAAGTTCATCTCAGCTCTTAAATTGCTTCCTTTCGTGTTGTGTTACCTGATTTATTAACTAGAATAGTTATCGCAACAGAGGCTACTCTTGGGTTTCTAAGGAAGAGTGTAGTTTAGACACTTAGAAATGCCTTTGTTTAAAAAGAATTTTTTAAAGTGCACTGTAAAAGCATCACGTGGTCTAGCCTCATAGTAATTCTCCTTTTTTGGAGACCCAGGATTCACTGTGGGCGCTGCCCAGAGCTCAGAGATCCAGTTAAAAGATAGGTAGTTCCTAGCTAAATAAAACTGGTCTCCTCATACAGTCTTATGATAGATTTCTATAAATTTTATGTTTGATTTGGCATCCATCTTTAATCTCCCTCTAGCACCATTAGACTTTTTCTCTCAGTACTTTAAGATGTAAATTTTGCTATCTGATTTTTTGTCTAAGAGTTGTTTTCCTTCAATATGCAGATTTAGGCCTGCTTATCTGACAACTGCCTAGGGTAGCAAACAGATTATTGAGAATTTGAAAGTCTAAGACAAGAAAAAAAGGTTTTTATGAATCTATAAGATGTACTTCTATTGGCATGCCTAATGTATCTATGTATTTATGTGTTGTGTACACAATGGTTTACTGCATACATATATATGAGCTCTAATTAATTGACTTAAGAAAAAAGCGCTTGAATCAAATACTTTTATCAGGAAAAAAGACTAGTCAAAAGCTTTTTCAAGGTTATATAACTTAAGTAAAATTTTAAATAAATAAGTTGGCTTTAAAATTATTGGTAATGTTAGAAATGTCTTGAGAACTCCCAGAATATATTTTTGTTTGCATTTATTGATCAAGCAATTTTATACTTATCCCTGCCAAATACTATAAGAGGTCAAAATTTGGCATAGGGGTTACAAAACTATAAACCCAGCCCAAAACAGAATGATCTTTGCTTGTGTAATATTTAATAAATAAGATATTGATATTGGTTTAAGGAAAATGGCTACATCTTGAATTATTCAGTAAAATTACTATAACTTCTAATTTTGTGGCTTTAGGCAGTTTAGTCCACAGGCAGTAAGGTTTGTTTTGGGAAAGGGCTGTTATCATCTTGTTTCAAAACTAAAGTAGAAATTAAATTCCTCCCAAAGTTAGTTTGGCCCACGTCCAGGAATGAACAAGGACAACTTGGAGGTTAGAAGCAAAATGGAGGAGTTGGTTAGGTCATATCTTTTTAACTGTTTCGGTTATAATTTTGCAATGGTGAGTTTCATATCTTTAAATGATGACTATCGCGGTTTTCATAGTCTAGGTAAACAATTAAAATAAGATAATTAGGTGAATGTAATGGAATAAATACTTGTAGACTTGTCATAATTTGGAATCTGAAGTTAAAATAATAATAGATATTTCATTATTTGAATATTTTTAAATAAAAATATATTGTAGGAAAACATTCTAAAAAAAGTGAACAACTTTTGTCTAATTCAAAGCATTTTTAAAGGTTATGGGTCAGTCACGGTGGCTCACGCCTGTAATCTCAGGACTTTGGGAGGCTGAGGCAGGTGGATCACCTGAGATCAGGAGATCAAGACCAGCCTGACCGACATGGAGAAACCCCGTCTCTACTAAAAAAATACAAAATTGGCCAGGCACGGTGACTCACGCCTGTAATCCCAGCACTTTGGGAGGCCGAGGCGGGTGGATCACGAGGTCAGGAGATTGAGACCATCCTGGTGAACACGGTGAAACCCTGTCTCTACTGAAAATACAAAAAAATTAGCTGGGCGTGGTGGTGGGCGCCTGTAGTCCAGCTTCTAGGGAGGCTGAGGTAGGAGAATGGCCTTAACCTGGCAGGCGGTGGAGCTTGCAGTGAGCCGAGATCGTGCCACTGCACTCCAGCCTGGGCGACAGAGCAAGACTCCGTCTCAAAAACAACAACAACAACAACAAAAAACAACAACAAAAAACAAAATTAGCCAGGCATGGTGGCACATGCCTGTAATCTGACCTCCTCGGGAGGCTGAGGCAGGAGAATCACTTGAACCTGGGAGGCGGAGGTTGCAGTGAGCTGAGATCAAGCCATTGCACTTCAGCCTGGGCAATAAGAGTGAAACTCCGTCTCATAAAAAAAAAAAAAAAAAAAAAAAATTCAATGCAGTGCAGAAGGGTGCTATAATGAGCCACCTTTGTTCTCAGTGGCACCCAACCTGAGTATGCTGTTGTTTCTGTTAGCACTTCAAGGTAGGTGATATGGAAACCATCTACTTTGTAATTTTCTGTTTCATGTGGTATTTCTAATTCTAGGGTGAATTTTCATTTCTCAAACACTGGATTTAAGTTTGAAACAGTATGACATGTATTTATTTTTAAAATTATGTTCCTACTGGTTATTCAGAGATAAATAGGATCCAGGTGGCCTCCTGAGGCCTTTCAGTCATATAAAATCTCCTCTTAACATTGCCAAAGTGTATGAGTTTCTAAATACTTTACATATAATCGTAATACTTATATTATTGCAGTAGGTTACCTCTTGCATCTCTACACATGAGCTTTGATTTCCTTTAATATTTTCTTGGTTCAAGTCCAGACCTCCTCCACAGAAGTAAAAGGTTATTGCTTTGGTGTGGCAAAACACCAAATGTGTACCCTGTATTTACAAACGCAATGTATCAGAAAGGTTCCAAAGTCTAAATGCATTATTTTAATTCTCTGATGAAATGGAAATAATCTTGAATAGATCTAGAATATAATATCCTAATCACTAGTTTCAAAAGACTTGAGAGAATAGGCCAAGTGAAGACCAAACTGAGTTGGTCTAGTTGGGGCTGGAGCTAAAGTTACTAAACCACAGAGATTGGTTTTGCTTGCTGGGGATATGGAGGGGGTTTGCAGGAAAGTAAGAGGTAGGCTGGGCATGGTGGCTCATGCCTGTGATCCCAGCACTTTAGGAAGCCAAGGCAGATGGATTGCTTGTGCCCAGGACTTCGAGACCAGCCTGGGGCAACTGGCAAAATCTTGTCTCTACAAAAAACAACAAAAACAAAAAAAGTAGCTGGGAGTGGTGGTGCATGCTTGTAGTCCCAGCTACTCTGGTGGCAGAGGTGGGAGGATCACTTGAGCTCAAGGGTTTGAGATCAGCCTGGGCAACAGGGTTGAAACTCTGCTCTACAAAAATTAGCCAGTGTGGTGGTGTGAGCCTCTGGTCCCAGTTGCTTGGGAGGCTGAGGTGAGAGGATTGCCCTTGAGCGCAGCAGGTGGAGGTTTCAGTGAGCTATGATCACGCCACTGCATTCCAGCCTCGGTGACAAAGCGAGACCCTGTCTCAAAAAAAAAAAAAAAAAAAATCTTGTCCAATAGAAAGTTCTCTGATGTTAGAAATGTTTTAGAATCTGCACCGTCCAATATGATACCCTCTAGCCATTCATGGCTACTGAGCAATTGAAAGTTGGCTGGTAAAAATGAAGAACTGAATTATAATTGTATTTTGTTTTAATTAATTTAAATTTAAATAGCCACATGTGACTAGTGTCTAGCATATTGAACATCATAGCTGTAAATTAGAGTGCTTTTAGGGACTGTCTGCTTGAAATATAAGAGTTAGCTTTTTAGAATTTCCCTGACATGTTTTTTCAGCCATTTATATTTGAGCATGTTATATACCGTTTGGTGTGCAATGAAATATACAGCAATATCCCTATCTTGGAGAAAAAAGCAAACAAGTAAAAATTAAAATAAGCAAAGAGAGACAATACAGAAACACGAGAGTTGCCATAATACACTTTAATCTTCATCACAGAAGAGTTACCCCAAGTGTAGAGGACTTCGGAAAAGCAAGAGTGCTTTCCAGGTTGTAGGGTTTGTAGGAGGAAGGGACTGGTTATTGAAGCATGTTATATGTCTTGGGTAGGTAGAAAGAAAGGAAAGGAAATTTCAGGAGGAGGCTTGGTATAAATAAAACTGGGAGGGTAGGAAGCTGTAAGATGTGACTAGGAACAAGTAAGTAGGCTAATTTGCTGGAATATGGAGGTGGTTTGGAAGGTGAAGCTGGAAGTGAAGGCTGGAGTCATTATGGTTACAGCTGCTTTTGAATTCATAGCTAAAAGCTTGGGATTTATCTTCCAGGCAGTGAAAATTCAGTCATTGAAGGATTTTGAGCTAAGGAACAACATAATAAGGGTCTTTTTAAGGAAAATAACCTTACCATATGTGTGAAATAGAGAGAAAGGAGTTAGGAAGCTATTACATTAGTTGAGACAAGAAGTAAAAGGTTTCTGAACCAGAAGGATGGCTATAGAAATAGAAGGAAAACAAGGAATGGTTAGATGGAAATACTGTAAGAGATTTCATAGATTAAAACTGACAGATTTTGCTGACAGATGAGAATGGATTGTGGCGGCATTGGGAAAGATGAGTCAAAAGGTGACTCCAGGATTGTAGCATTAGCTGAAGATGGGAGAGTGAGTCCAGTTAAATATATAGGCTGGTGAGAAATGGGGCCAGATGTATTACACTAGGACCCTGAAGTTTTTCTTGGAGGGTTCCAAGAGGAAACTGAGTCATATGACAGTTCACCACCAAAAAATTGCTGGAACGAACAGTCTCTATTTACACATTAGTGATGCATTTAAAAATTAACTTGAACCAAAACTTAATCTGAAAATGTTAGTGTATTATCATGTGAGGACTGAAGCATTTTCAATATGTTAATAAGCACATGATTGTAGGAAATGTAAATATGATAATTGGCAATGATATCAGGATTGTAACTAGTGACTTATTGACCTTCCCTCTCTCCATGTTGCCACCCTGCTGCCTGTCACCACCTTGCCCCCAGCCTTTTTAATTTTTTTTTTAGTAGAGTGAACAAGAGCAAACACAATAAACTATTCTGATAACTGGAATCCGATATCATTTGTTGTGAGAATTAAACTTTCATTATTACCTAAATATACTGGGTAATAAACTAAAATATTTTTAGTTCTTTTTCTTCCTTACTAGAATTGGAAGTGGAAAGTTAGTCTGGTATCCGCCATTTTCTTCTTGTAATCTTCATCAAATCTCTCATTCTGAGCCACGGTGAAGTGTTTCTTCCAATCTCCCACTGCCCCTGAAATACAGTTATGTGGGAGAGGGTCAGTAGTTGTTGGAAGAGTCTGTACTTCCCTGTTCTCCTGTTTCTGTGTGATGATTTCTATGCCATGTTCCAGGAAGAGCAGTATTGGACAAAACGTTTCTCTTGCTATCCTGTCACTTCCTTATCCTGAAGGGAAGACGACTTTCCTGTCTGATTTGTGAGACGAGGAGAGCCTCTTACCGCCTGGCTGCATTAGTGAGTGAGCAAGACCACTGTGTTACAACAGCAGGCCTGAAGGCTTTCTTGTCTTTCTCTGTGCCCTGCTGCACATCGAAGCATGGTGGGTGCTCATGACTGTAGCTCCCATGCTGTAAGCTGACCAAGAAGGGCCTATTTCTGGGAGGCCCAAGGTACCATTTGAAGAAGAAAAAATATGACCCCTCCCCCAAATTCTCTGATTGTAATCCCTGTTACCTTTCCCAGTTTTATTTTTCTTAATGTTATCTATGTATTCTTTTATTTTGCTTATCACTAGAATATAATTTCCATGCAGGAATGAATTTTTGTGTTTTGTTCACTGCTGCAAACAGTGACTAGAACAGTGCCTGGCACATAGAAGCCCCTCAGTAAGTACCTTTGAATGACTGAATCTGATAGCATAGAACTGACTATAAAATGGATTCTTTCCCCTCTCTGACTTAATTCCATATATTTTCATGTTATTAGCCAGAACTCTTAAGGGAAAGTGGGGATAAGTGGTTGGATTTAGACATCAAATCTTACTCTCTGAATCTTAATAATAATTGGCTAATTAAATACTATTTTCATTTTATCAGTGGCTTCTTAAATACTTCTTTTCCCCAAATCATTTATTAAAGATATTATTTTTTTCCTAGCCATAGGAAAGAAAACTCCTCTCAAATGCTATAAAATATTTGACAGTTCTTTTAAGATTATAACGAAAAGAAACTATAAAAACCTTTTCTCATGAATGGAGAAATGGAGTGGTCCATGATTTCAGCAGGAATCGATGAATAGTTTGCCATTGAATTCTGTTTCATAACATCAAATGAAGTGTAATGGACAATTTTATCTAGAACTTTGTCATCTAGTTTCTTCTCAATAAATTCTGTTAGCTTCTGAACTTCATGCTTTGGGTTCTATGATCAGAGTCAAAAGAAGAGTAATGATTTAATAGAATTAGTTTAAAAAGAATATTGTGATGGATTCATGACAGTAACCGGTAACATATTCGAGTTAAAATAAAAATCAAATCTTAACAAATGCTCAAGTGACTCATTTTAACGTGATGACCCATATTGTTCTTTTTTTAGTAATTGGAATCACTAATAATTTTTTCCCCTTAATATGTAATCAACTGGGTAAGCTTAGTGAAACATTCACCAGACAATGACGTACAGTGCCTAGTGAACGGTTCACTGAGGGAGTGTGCCAGGGTTATGTCCACAAGCCCTGCGCAAGACATTTCAGAAGCACAGGAGCAGAAGATTAAAGACCTGACCAAGAGGAAGCTATATCCTGTTTCTGACATTGACAGAAATGTCCCCAGACTGCAGTGATGGCAGGAGGAGGGGAGAGAAATTTTTATTTTTATTTTTTGCATATGTCAAGAGGTACCCATGGCTAGTACCTCTGGTACCAGACCACCAAGTCAAGTGGAACTGAGAGTAGCTCAGTTCCAGTGTAACCACTGATTTCTCATCAGAGGGACATACAACCTTGTGACATCACTGTGGCTGTGGGACTCCTCCGTCTCTGGGAGCAGGGAGCGGGTGGGAAGGGAAAGTGGAAGCGCTTACCCCGACCACTGTGTCTGTAGTGGGCTTCTGCTGTAAAAGCTTGTATGTCAGAAATGTTTCATTTAATTGACCTCACACAGACTAGGAATCAGAGTACTGAGAATTGTGAGCTTTGTGAGGGGACATTCCCAAACAAGATCACAGCAATATTTTAAAAAGTTTTAGGGACTCTGAGGTTAGATTACCTGTTTCGGTAAAGTTTCTTCCTGGCATGCATAATACGCTAGGGTCTACCTAAGCAAAAGAGCCCGATTCCCGGCGACATATCCTTTCTCTGACACGGCTATGATACATGCCGTAGGCAAACATCATCTGCCCGGAGTCTTCCTATGGGGCACAACACTGTTGTACCAAGTAAAAACAATGTAAACACAAGGAGGGAATTTTATACTGATAACCTCATAGGTTGTTCTGCTGGTTCTTTAGTCATGCTTCTGAAAATCCTGGAGCTATAACAATTATTTTAAAAACCACATGAAAATGGTCTGTGTTTACCACTCCTTTGATATTTTGTAGAAATCACTGATATCACAAGGCCCAGCAGTGATTGAACCTTAGAGAAGTGCATCTAAATGGTGATGTGCGCTTGAATCTCGTGGGAATTTTATAAAACTCCAGACTTAGCAGGCCTAGAGCAGGCTCCAGTAGCTTATGCAAACTAGTCTGTGAAGTACCTGTTGAGTATCAAGGCTTTCAATGACCATTTCAAGAACAGAGACTATAATTCTGTATAGAGCTCTGTATTTAGTGGGGTCACAGAAAGTAGCAGAGTAGATGATTATTTACAACAAACATCCACTGATATTTAGTCCTCAAATAAATCTTGAATAGGTAAATCTTATTATCTTCATTTTTACATTTAAGAAAACTAAGCCCCCAAGATGTTAAGTGTCTTTACCAAGAATTGACGGAACTTGATTTCAAGAATTTTGAATCTAAATCCATTTTCCATTGAACTACTTCCTAAACTGTTTCTTAAAGCTATTGGCTGGGCGTCGTGGCTCACGCCTATAATCCCAGCACTTTGGGAGGCCGGGCGGGCAGATCACAGGGTCAGGAGATAGAGACCATCCTGGCTAACACGGTGAAACCCCGTCTCTACTAAAAAATACAAAAAATTAGCCGGGCGTGGTGGCGGGTGCCTGTAGTCCCAGCTATTCGGGAGGCTGACGCAGGAGAATGGCGTGAACCCGGGAGGCGGAGCTTGCAGTGAGCCGAGATCGGGCCACCGCACTCCAGGCTGGGCGACAGAGCAAGACTCCGTCTCAAAAAAAAACAAAAAACAAAAAACCGTATTATGTTCCTCAGTGCTAATAAAAAAACCCAAAAACTCCGGGCACGGTAGTTCATGCCTGTAATCCTAGCACTTTGGCAGGCGGAGGTGGGTGGAACACTTGAGGTCAGAAGTTCAAAATCAGCCTGGCCAACATGGTGAAACCCCGTTTCTACTAAAAGTACAAATAATTAGCTGGGTGTGGTGGCAGGCGACTGTAATCCCAACTACTCCAGAGGCTGAGGCAGGAGAATCGCTTGAACTTGGGATGCGGAGCTTGCAGTAACTTGAGATCGCATCACTGCACTCCAGTCTGGGCAACAGAGTGAAACTCCTCTGTCTTAAAACAACAACAACAACAACAACAACAACAACAACAACAAAACAAAACCAAAGAAACCAAAATGTGCTAGGATTTTTTTCCTGCTAAACTGCATTTTAAAATAGATATGCAAGGGAGAAATGACACAATCCATATTGGGTAATAACCTCCCTGTAAGGGAGATGTGCAGCATCCTGGGGAGCACCAGGAAGCTGCAGGTGAGACTGTGTGATACTTAAACTCATGATCAGCCATGTGCATTTGGACAAATGACAGCTGTAGCCAACGAAGTGCAGCAATTTTCTGTTCCCCACATCAATCTGAGTCCCTGATGGGGTCAATACATTATGACTTACATGTTTTATGGCCCAGTGGGCACACATTAGATGGCACTGTGCTCACCTTCTTCATGTCCTCATAGAAGAGATAGAGAATACGGTGTTTGTCTTTGGCTTCCCACCATCCTTTCACATGTTCATGCCAGGAGCCCCAGCACACTGGAAGATGGGATGGAAAACAGGGCAATGAGTCACAGAGGTCCTATTATCCCTCTGAAAGGAGAATTTCTGAAGTGAGAGTGTTCCATTAGAGAAGGTAGAGCCCCTGCCGTTCAAAAGAGAGGATTCTTTCCTTCTAGGGTGTTTGGAGATTTTGAGAAATGAAGGGAAACAAAACTAAATTCTCTTACCTTTCCCAGCCAGAAAAGTCTCAAAATACTCTTCCCATGTTCCTGGATCAGGAAGTGCTTTATTCATTCTTTGGAAATGGTAATAGGACACCATGTTGTCCTTGGGATTTCTTGCTACATAGATTATCTGGGAATGATGAGGGGAGAGGAGGGAAGAAGCAAAAAGGTTTTTTTTTTTTTGTTTTTGTTTTTTTTTGTTTTTGCTATTACTGCCCAGGCGAGTCATGTTAGGGTGGATACATTTCACACAGTTCAGTTTTTCTGAGGCTGCATTTTTGTCATCCTCGTTATGGGAGACTTTTTTGTTTTGTTTTGTTTTTGAGATGGAGTCTCGCTCTGTCACCCAGGCTGGAGTGCAGTGGCACCATCTTGGCTCACTGCAACCTCCGCCTCCCGTGTTCAAGCAAGTCTCCTGCCTCAGCCTCCCGAGTAGCTTGGATTACAGGCGTGTGCCACCCCATCCTGCGAATTTTGTGTTTTTAGTAGAGATGGGGTTTCACCATGTTGGTCAGGCTGGTCTCGAAGTCCTGACCTCAGCTGATCCACCCATCTCAGTCTCCCAAAATGCTGTGATTACAGGCATAAGCCACTGTGCCTGGCTAGGATTCGTATTAATTTGTGTATTGATGATTGTGAAGAGGTAGACTTTTTTTTTTTTTTTTTTTTTTTTTAAACAAGTGAAGTGTTTTAAGAGGAAATGGAAGACTAAGGTTGTTTTAAGGAGTACAGCTCTGAATTCCTTTTGCTTTTTACCTTACAGTTTTTCTCTAGGAAGGATGGTGGCAACAAGTGAAAAGGAAGATGTGTTTTCAGGATCCGTGGTGAGGGCATTGCCTGAGCTTGTTCCAAACCTGCAAAATTGGTTTTTGATCAATTTCTACTATTTTTTTCTCTATTTGCTTCCAGGTTCTGCTGCTTCCGTTATTGCTACTACAAGTCAAAGCATCTGCAAGAACATTGTAACTATAGATCTGGTGTGAGAGAATATGTCTAGCCCATGAAGAGATGTTTGGCTAGAACTATTCCTAACCATAACAGTCAACCAAATAAATAAGAACCTAAAAAATTCAAATCCTTTCACCAGGGTTATCTTACTTGAGCTTATCCTTTTGAAGTAAAATTAATTTCTAACTAGAGAAACAAAATTTAACTCACTTTTGTATAAACAATAATTCCATTAGAAAACGTCTGTAGTATAACAGTGGCCAGACACAGTTAAAAAAAGACAAAACCACAAAACTCACCAATCATTGTTTGAAAGCCTATAATTTTGAAAGGTTCAAAGACAGTAAAAATCCTAAGTGCATTTTAGGACTGTAGTGAAGTGTGGCTATTCCATACTTACCAGATCCTAAGGATGGGATTTTCCATTCGAGGAAAGGAAATCGTTGATGAGTTGGTGCCCGTTTACTTTTCTCTACATCACCTTCATTTTGTATTAATTCCACTATCTCCTGTGTCCATGTTGTTCCTTATCCCACATGTAAAATGAAGATGGATGGACATTTAGTACAGCATATTCCTTAAAATATGATCAAATACTTGTTAGAACATCTGTCTTTTTTTTTTTTTTTTTTTGAGACAGGGTCTTGCTCTGTAGCAAGGCTGGAGTTCAATGGTGCAATCTCAGCTCACTGCGACCTCTGCCTCCTGGGTTCAAATGATCTCACCTCAGCCTCCTGAGTAGCGGGGGTTACACGTATGCACAATCACCCCTGGCTAATTTTTGTGCTTTTTGTAGAGACAGGATTTTCCCATGTTGCTCAGGCTGATCTGGAACTCCTGAGCTCAAGTGATCTGCTTGCCTTGGCCTCCTAAAATCCTGGGATTACAGGTGAGAGTCACCCTGACTGGACCATCTATGTGAATTTAAAAGATAGGTTTTAAATGGGATTCAGAAGATAACATTCCTTATTTATATCTTATTATCATAATATGAATTTTTAAAAAATACTCCAATTTTGAATGGACATTAGACTGATAAATATATATTTTTTTCTGTCACAACTATTAATTTGGATTGTTATTGTTCTCTTGATTTAGCTGTATTGTCCTTAGAAAGGGCATTCTCCCCAAATTGTGTTCTCCTATAGAGAAATGACTAAATGGCTTTCAAACTCTCTTTTTCCCAGTCACATAGCATAGGAGACACTTAGTATTTGTTGGCTGAATAAATGAACCATTAGGGTTTGAACTTGATATTGACTATTAGCACTTAGTATTCATTTTTCTATTTTCTCTGTTTCCCCCATATTTCATGGGCTGAAAGGCTATAAAAGGCCTTCCCTAAACTCCTTTGCCACTAAGATTCTGAAGGCTATTTAGATCCCTCCAGTGAGATGCATTAGCCTGAGTTTTGGAAGGCAGTGGGGAGATAGAAGTCATCCTTCCTGAGGAGGTGTCTGCTGATAGTAGCCCCAGCAGACAGAAATTTTGCAAAGACCATTCCACATTCCATGGCCCAGTGCCCTAGACCCAACCACTGCCACTGTGGCCATAGGTAGAATGGAATTCCCCAGCTTCAGTCTGTCTGTGTCTTGCACTGATCCTGACTTATACAGTGATATTGTGCTATCAACATAATCTTCACCCTTTGATGAATATCTGTTGCACCAGTTGTTTTGGCAAAATCCAGGTTAAGAGGATGTTGAGTTATTTTAAGACGGCTTTTTTATCCAGAGACAGGGTCTTGCTCTATTGCCCAGGCTGGAGTGCAGTGGTGGGATCCTAGCTCTGTGCAGCCTCCCAACTCCTGGGCTCAATGGTCCTCTTGCTTCAGCCTCCCAAATAGCTAGGACTATGAGTACACGCCACCACGCCCGGCTAATTTTTAATTTTTTTTTTTGTAGATAGGAGTCTCCCTATGTTGCCCAGGCTGGACGCAATCTTCTGGCCTCAAACAATCCTCCTGCCTTGGCCTCCCAAATTGATGGGATTACAGGTGTGAGCCACCACGCCTAGCCAGGATGGCTTTCTGAATCCTGATCTAGGTTGATCTTTCCTGTATTATCTGGCTGAAGTTCTATAGATTCCTTTTTCCATATTCTCAATTTAGTGCTTTTAAAGGCCTAGAATAAGGGCATAAGTTAGAAATAAATTAAATTATATTTTATATTTTATATGAGTTGGTCTCCTGTATTTTCTGGCAGCAACTTTTATTACAGGACGAAGGGTCAAGATATCTTTAGTTATCCATGCAAAGAATATTCCAGCCATTTGTACTAGTTTTATGACAATTCATAGCCACAACACTGAATGTCTATAATGAATGAATTGAATGAATTTATAGACATGAGCCAACATGAGGGCAGATTGAAATGTTGCTAGAGGTTCTGGGGTGAGTGGAATGACTTCTCAATTTATTCTCTAGAGGTCAGTGATTCCATGATGTATTTTTTCTTGTCATTCAGAATATTATTCTTTTAAAAATTTAGGGTGAACTATTTTTGCCATCTATGCTTGTTTCTTCTTCCTTTTAATAAAATAGACTTCATTAACGTATATGGTTTTAGTTATGATTAAATATTACTTTAGATGGCAAGCATTTAATTTTCTTAGTGTGCTTTTTGAATTGCTTAAACCTCATTAATGCCAGGAAAAACCTAAATGAACCATATCTTAGTACTTGCATTTGGCAGGTAGAGAAAAGATTATTTAGGTACTGAATTGATAATCAAGTGGAATTGTCGATGAAGTTAAGATGATAAGATGTGATCCTCACCAGTGGCTACTTTTAGAAATTTACATTCAGACAAATTTGATCCTGAATGGGCTCCCGATGAGTAAGTTTGGGAAATCAGGACCAACATGAAACAGACGGACAAAGAAGAGACCAAGGCCTCCGTGTTCCTGCAGAATCTTCTGTTAGGATCTTGAGAGAGAAGAACAAAAGAGGGTTTTGAACAGTCTCAGAAAATACTGAGGTTTAGATTTTTTGGTGTGTGTGTATAACAAGAGTTTTTGACAGCTTGATTTTGCAAAGAGCAAATGTATATATAATTTGTGTGTAGACCAAGTAAACTATTTCTGGTAGATATGTAGATATGCAAAAATATTTATAGAGAACTATTTCCACCTCATCATCCCCCAATTTTTATGATGTGGTTGCTGGGCTCAAGCTAGTCCTACTTTTACAGACAACTTTGTTAAACTGATTGTTGAGATAAGAGAGTTGGTTCACAATTTACCACAAAGGAAGGTGGAAATCAGAAGGATGGTTCTCAGACCGTGAGATGGGAGGGCTGCTGAGGTGGTATCAGCATTGCAGAACCAAAGCTCCCCTATTTCTTTTCCAAATCAGCCTCGGGATCCCCTTTCTAGCTCACACACTCAAAGCAGCTTTTTACAAGATTTGCAATAAGGGCCTAGATTGGGAACGAATAAATAAACAAGTATACCCTTTTGCTCTTAGCTGTTTTCACTGTCTCCTGGGAAAGTAAAAAAAAAAAAAGTAAGTACATCATAACATCATAGGAAGGTTGAATTCTAAAAATTTGTGTGTCATTTTAGTATGTTTCGGTATAGCTTCAGTTTCCACTAGTAACTTTCTTTAGCCGTATCACTCCGTCCAGTAGAGTTTTCCAGATCAACTTCTTTATTTCATGACTAATGCATCCTTCCCACTTACCTTCCTAACTCTCCTCTTCCCCTTCCCCTGTAAGCCCTTCCACCTACCTGCTTTAGGATAGGTAGAAATAAGCAGGTCATCAGGCTTGGCTTGGAAGTTCCAGATCTCATCCCAGATGTCACAGGTGACTGTGGGTTGAAGAATTCCCTTCACGTAGTTGACACTTAAGCGCTTTGTTCCATCAAATGTAAAATCCTCCATCTTGTGTAAGGCCGTTAGTATAGGAAATCAGAGGGCTCTTCCAGACACAAAGTTATCTCTCAGTCAGCATATGGCTGCATTGTGGATAGAAGCAGCTCTCTGTCCACCACTCTTACCACACTATCCAGCCCTCTAGCATAGGCCTGTCTGGGAAAGCCTGGTGCTGGCCAGCAAACAGACAGAAAGTGAACTGCAGGCCTCCCGACTCAGGTTCCAGGGAACTGGAACTCTTGTTTGAACTTTGTCCACTGGCAGTTTCCTGAGGACTGCAGCCCCCTCCCTACCAGGCTGTGACGTCACAGCAGAGGCGGTCATAAACCCTGCTGTCTGGGTCCCGTTCCAGCCCTTCTGTTCTCTGTCAGTTAACAGGACATAGTGTCACATTGTTTATATCCCTCGTCTCTGTATCCATTCAACCCTTCACAGATATTTTCATTAATTGTTTCTTAGTTGTAGGATTTGCCTGTGAAATTACAGATTCTACACAGAATGACTTCCCTGAGAGACTGCAGGGACTTTCCCATGGGCTATTAACAGTGGTGGCCTGGATGGATCTGAACCTCCCAGTACAAACATCTGCCAGGGTCAGCTTTGTTATTTTTTAAGAGTAACATAAATATTGCTAAACTGGAGAAGGCTCCTTCCTTTGTAGGGGTTTCATCACAGCCATGAAAACATGCATGCCTCATTTAAAGCAAAATGGATGCAGAAAACTCCAGAGTTAACAGAAGACAGTGGCTGCCTTAGGAATCCATTCTGCCCCTGGCAATCAGAAATTTTACAACTTGCTTCAGTCCCTGCCCCCAGCCTGGCCTGCACCCCAGGGCCATGCCACACTTGCTCCCCGTGGCAGCACTCCTTCTTCTGGAGATCTTGTTGGCTCTTGTGTGTCTGGCTCTTGTCTGATTCTCTTTCTTCATGTCCCGGCTTGGGTGCCCCCTTTCTGGAGAAGTCTTCTTTGACTTTCAGTGTCATCTCAAGTAGGTCCCTCCTATTTCCCTGCTCATGGCAACTTGTGTTCCTTTAGAGCAACCATTGACAGTTAGTTTTGCTTGTTTACTTGTTGGCATTTTCTGTCTCCTTCACTATAAGGTGCATGAAATGGGGTCTGTTGTTTTCTCACTGTTTGCCAGCTGTATGCCTAGTGCCTGGCATCCTTCTATTTCTCGAAAGAATGAACGAGTAAAACTAAGCAAAAATTGAGGAAGCGAGTTCTTTGGGCCATGATTATGTGGGGACTAGGTGAGTATGGTGACTGTGGCTTGACATCCTTCAGACAGATGTCAGGCTGCCTGTATTTGGATCCTGTGCCAACTCCCAGTAGCTGTGGGCAATGGCAGGTTACAGAATCTCTCTGTTTCATATCACGCTTTTCCTCAGGTTTGAATTGAGGATCTTAACATTTCCTACCTAATAGCATGGTTGTGGGGAGATAAAACAGCTTATTTAATGCTTGGGAACAGGGAAATGTTGAATAAATTGTAGTTATTAATAATAATCAGTGACTTTGTGCACCATTTCTCTGTGGTCCACTTTCTGGATGCAAACTCAGAAAAGATCAGTTCTTTGGCTTTCCCTGTTCCTCATCCCCTCCCTCCTGGCCGTGGTGAGGTGGATGGGCCTTTGAGACAGAGACTACCAGGTGGAATGCCTGGGATGCATATGCATTTAAACAGACTGATAAAAATCACCTATAATTTTTCAGTTAGATTTTGTTCTACAATCTTTTCAGCCCTGTGTGCCATCAGAGTACAGTGGTAGATATTTGGCAATGCCTTAGCAGTTTTGACTAGTGCGTTGTGTGCTAGAGGGGAAGGGCTGGGAGACGGGGGAGGTTATGCTCCCGGACCCAAAGATGACTGATTGGCATTGAAAATAGATTCGGGAAAGATAGAAAGTTCCAAATAATCTGAAAAGTGATCTCGACTATGAACACTGCTCTTACTCTTACTTAATGTTTTTACTCAATAGTACTTTCTCATGAGGTTAGGAGAATTAAACAGATGTATTTAGTGATTATAAGAATAAAATTGGTGCTAAGTCTACATTTGACAAGCATTGCTTTGGAATTCTAAATATATGGGTTTGAATTTAAACGACCCCTTAATAGCTGTGTAACTTTTCTAGTACTTATCTCTTCTGAACCTTTCATTTTTTGTTAATCTCACTGGGTTAATGTAAAGTTGGATGTAAATAAGGTAGCCTGTAGTCTTGGGACATATTGGGTACCCAAGATAAAGCTAATACACTCTCCTCCTCTAATTCTTCCCTGAACCTCCTTTTCAACCCTGTCACTGTTTGTTTCTGAGCATGGAGAGGAGATTCCAACTCTCAACGCACTTTAGACGTCCTTGTTATAATCGTCCTTGTTATAATCTACCATCTTGTTCAGGCCTCTAATGTGATTCATTTGCAAAATTTATAACTGGGGTTTCCAAACTCTTTTTTTTTTGTTAGGAAAATCCAGAATGCTGGTTACTACCCTTAAACAGGTCTCTGTTTGTTTGCTTTTTCTAAAAGGAATATGTCTAAAAGATGTTTTGACTCAGCACACTGTTTTAAAAGACACCCGGCCAGGCGCGATGGCTCATGCCTGTAATCCTAGCACCTTGGGAGGCCAAGGTGGGCAGATCACCTGAGGTCAGGAGTTCGAGACTAGCCGGGCCAACGTAACGAAACCATTACTCTACTAAAAATACAAAAATTAGCCAGGTGTGGTGGTGCATGCCTGTAATCCCAACTACTCAGGAGGCTGAGGCAGGAGACTCGCTTGAACCCGGGAGGTGGAGGTTGCAGTGAGCCCAGACTGCACCACTGCCCTCCAGCCTGGGCGACAGAGCAAGACTCCGTCTCAAAAAGAAAAAAACAAAAAGACACCCATTGGAGAGTGAACTAAGCCTGTGTTGAAAAATTTGAATCGAAATGGTCTTTGATCTTTGAATCAATATTTAGCATAGGGTTATTATAAATTACTTATTTGTTGTTCAGTACTTGAAACCAAAGCAAGAGGAAGAACTAACAAGTCCACATAATTAAAACTGGAATCAAATCCAGATTGTTTAATTATTGATAAATATCTATGGTTTATTCATAACTTTTCTCCCTTCCTCTATTTAGATGGCCTTAAGGTCATTCTATTTGCAGTGCACTATTCCAGAAGCTGAGTAGGGAGAAAATGAAACTCAAGTGAATTATATTACTCTTTGCGATAATACTTTAATCAGCTTCAGAGATTGAGGGTAATTGTGAGTTCTTAGTGAGGGGAAGCAAGGATGTAGGCAATCTGTAATTTCAGACAATTCCTTAAAACACAACCTAAGAACCTCTTACATTCTCAGAAAAAATGAAAAGCTGTGTCAAATGGTGGGTCATGTAGAGCTTCCAGCTGCAGCAAATATAGATACAGGAAGCCCAGTTAAATTTGAATTTTAGATAAACAGTGAATTAATTTTTAGTACATGCATTTTCTGTGCAATATTTGGAAGATGAAGGGGTGGCCTACCCCTCCACACCTGTAGGTATTTCTCATCAGGTGGGACGAGAGACTGAGAAAAGAAATAAGACACAGAGACAAAGGACAGAGAAAGAACAGTGGGCCCAGGAGACCAGTGCTCAGCATACAGAGGATGTACACCAGCAGTGGTCTCTGATTTCCCTCAGTATTTATTGATTAGTATTTTCACTATCTCAGCAAGGGGAATGTGGCAGGAGAATAGGGTGATAGTGGGGAGAAGGTCAGCAAGAAAACATGTGAGCAAAGGAATCTGTGTCACAAGTTCAAGGGAAGGTACTATGCCTGGATGTGCACGTGGGCCAGATTTATGCTTCTCTCCACCCAAACATTTTAGTGTAGTAAAGAATAACAGAGCAGCATTGCCACCAGCATGTGTCACCTCCTGCCACAGGGCGGTTTTTCTCCTATCTCAGAATAGAACAAATGTACAATCGGGTTTTATACCCAGACATTCTGTATAATGTCCCAGGGGCAGGCAGGAGACAGAGGCCTTTCTCTTATCTCATCTGCAAAAGACCTTCCTCTTTCACTAATCCTCCTCACCACAGACCCTTCACGGGTGTCAGGCTGGGGGACGGTCAGGTCCTTCCCATCCCATGAGGCCATATCTCAGGCTATCTCAGTGGGGAGAAACCCTGGACAATACCCGACTTTCCAGGGCAGAGGTCCCTGCGGCTTTCCACAGTGCATTGTGCCCCTGGTTTATCGAGAATGGAGAATGGCGATGACTTTTACCAAGCATACTGCCCCGTAAACATATTGTTAACAAGGCACATCCTGCACAGCCCTAGATCCCTTAACCTTTATTCCATAGAACACGTGTTTTTGTGAGCACAAGGTTGGGGCTAAAGTGACAGATTAACAGCATCTCAAGGCAAAACAATTGTTAAGGGTACAGATCAAAATGGAGTTTGTTATGTCTTCCTTTTCTACATAGACACAGTCACAGTCTGATCTCTCTTTGCCTGACATATCCCCCTTTTCTTTTTGACAAAACCGCCATCGTCATTATGTCTCGTTTTTGCGGGTTGCTGTCTCTTCGGAGCTGCTGGATATACCTGTAGACTAACAACAGACAGAACAGGCATGCAAGGATTGATACAGAATTTACAATAGTGGAACTTTTGATGGTTTTAACCCAAGTGACGGGGTTAAGATTTGTGAGGCCACCAGCAGCTTTCACGATTGCCTCAGTTCCTGGCACCACATTTAAATGGGCTTTTGATACCTCAAAAATTTGTTCTTTTAATTTTGAAATATCTAAAGTAAAATTATTTTCTCTTTCTTGT